ATATATATAAAATATTCATTACTTCTGTAACCGATCATTTGCTCGACTTCTTGATACCATTCAGTTTACTTTTCGGGTGTGCCGTTTTGTTGTAGGACGAATGTTGATGCGCGGTTGATGCCATTTCTTTCGCTGTCGAGTCCAAGGTCGTACTTAGGGGGGGGTTTTTTGTCATGATCTATGAGATTTAGTCATGACGCATGGATCGCTACGCGTCCGTCTTCTTATCCTGCTGAGATCGTGCAGGTTCTTTCTAAAATTCCAGGTGGTGTGTATTATATTTCACAAAATCAGGTCATAAACCATAGCCTCCTATAAATTCAACATAGTAAAAGCGCGCCAAAATGCTAAACCCTAAATCCTAACCCCTTAGCAGTCCTATTTTATATAAATAAATCCCCAGTGTTCAATTTGAGAGTCTATGAAGTACCACTGAAAATACAGTCTCAGACTTGAATATTAATAGCTCTCCAATGGATGAGTCGAATACTACTTTCAGGACTCAAGAAGGTCTCTACGACACTGAATCTATTTATATTTATACTCACTGATGGAACATCTTTGAAAAAGGACTATTCAGTATTCAATTTTTTTTGTTTGTTTTTGTTTTATTGAAAAATTGTATTTTTTTTCGTGTCATTCCCACACAACCACAGACACAGTAGCTGGCTGGCACTATATCATATGAAAGAGACCGAACTTTCATGTTATCGAACAGCTGGGCCTGGTGTAGGTACTCCACAGCCTCACGCCCTTACAGGTTTAACCCTTCACAACTTCTCAACAACAAGAGAGAGGTGAGAGCTCAGCGCCCGCTGATGGCTGAAGTCTGGTATTTTTTTAGGCAGAAAAATTTAGCTCCGAACTTCTATTATTGTACTGGAACTCAAAAGAACACAATATCTAAAAATAGACGCCCATTTTTGGTTTTATAAAGAAACAGCATTTTTCTCGCAAGAAAAATCTGAGAATATTGTTGTATGCCTAAAACAGATAACCCTCCAGCGGAGTCCAGACTCCAAAGTGTGATGAGAGTCCAGCCTCCAGCCCCAGGCGCCGATATATCATAAGTTTATATACCATAACTAACTAAGTTATCGTGATAGAGCGCTTTAATACTTGTTATACCACCGTACACACACTCTCCGTGCCCTCGTTGTCGGTATGTGAGCGTTGCATCGTATATTACTATGTTGACTACCTGGAATTATGTTTTTAGTTTAGACCTGACGATGATATAATCGTCGAACTTTGCTTTATGATATATTTTGTCTGTCCGCCTGCGTTGCACTCGGTGTGTCTTCTCTTTTATATGTGCCTTCTCGCGGGTACGCCTACTACTCACCTGGTTTCAAGACCCTTCCATGTCATGAGAATTGGATGGTTTTCTAATAGATATTGGGCAATATTGTCTAGTTCTCGTCGCACGCACCTGCAGCTGTGTTGTATTTATGCCTCATCCGTTTCTCGTTCTCCCGCAATGTTTAAATCTTGGCCATTCCATGTCTTGTGCTTTTACTTCAAGCTCGTATATGAGAAAATTTAGATGAGAAAATTTCCTGTATAGTTCCCGTTTGGCTCGCCATGTTTATTGGTATAGAGATTCTGGAAGAACTGCTAGTATACAAGCTTACGACTTTGTCGTAGGTACTTCGTAACTTACCGAGAACATATGTGTGATATACTCTCCGGGACTATGGTGGCTCGTATTCAAGCCACCCCCCCCCGCTAGTGAAAGCTGTATTGGATTTCTAATATATTAGCTAACGTGACTTCTAGTTTTATCAGAGCACGATACATATATTTATAGGTAGAATTGCGTTTATGCTTATTTTCTGATGTACCCTATCAGCACGACATAGAAATATCAATAGTCCCTGCTTACTTCAGTGAGTGAGTGTTTAGACATGTTGTGTACCTTAAAGTGGTCGTATGGTGCGCATACCCGTTATCTCGGACTCCGCACATGGTGCTTGTTGACCTCTATTATTCTTTAAATAGATACATACTTACAACCGTGTACTCCTTCCCTGCGTCCCATAGATAAATCACCATGGTTGAAGTAAAGCTCGAGACGCCGCAATTCGATGCGCGGTTCCCCAACCAAAACCAGACGCGTGCGTGCTGGCAATACTTTGTCGACTATCAACGCTGTGTCAAGGCCAAAGGAGAGGACTACGCTCCCTGTGACCAATTCCGCAAGGCTTACAAGTCGATCTGCCCCGACGAATGGAGTGACAAGTGGACCGAGCAGTTGGAGGAGGGCAAGTTCGCGGCTGAGCTATAAACAGACTGTGTGACCTATATTTAGTCCTTTTGTACTTACTTGCTTGGCTGTACGGTGCGGTGCTGGTTCGCGGGGACGATGTGCTTGCTGGCGAGTGACGGCAGACAACTTTTGTGCATGTCAGTGGCAAATACTTAAACGAACGCTAATAATTAAAAGGGAGCCCTCTCTATCAGTCACTACATAGTCACTACTTAAGCTGTTGTGGGCAGGCACATATATCATAATCTCTATATATATACAATATATGTATATACCTATATATTTATTTATATGTACCAACCACGTGGCTCCACGCACTGTCATATGCATATGTATGCTGACTGTTGTTAAGTGTGTTTGTGAAGTTATGGTAAATAACGCGTGAGAAACGCTTTTGATTTTCTGTAGTCAGTGGTGGGATAGCGGGCGGCACTGTTGTATGTTGGCAAGGGAGATTGCAGTCTATTGTGAGAATCGGTAATTAAATATATAGTTACATACTGTGTGTAAACATCTGCGTATGATACGTCTATAGATATATATTAATGTCTGTGTGTTGTGTCTGCGTACGTGTACGCGTCTGTGTGTACATGTATGTATAGTACAAGTGTAAAATTTCATTTCGCGTTGTATAACCAAGCGAATACTATTTGAGTGTTCTCGACGACGGCTGTTTTCGCGGCAGCGTCTTGTTACTCAGAAGTCTCCGTTAGGGCTTCAGAGGATATGCTTTATTGTGCCATATATGTTATATGTTTTATTTCATCTGTATATTATTCTACGTACTGTATCAGAGAATACCTTTTATTGTATCATATATGTTATATGTTTTATTTCATCTGTATATTATTCTACGTACTGTATCAGAGAATACCTTTTATTGTATCATATATGTTATATGTTTTATTTCATCTGTATATTATTCTACGTACTGTATTATCTATGAATCGTCGGCGGCTCTGGTTTCTCGAACGGAAATATCGATCCGAATTTGAAGTGTTGGATCACAGGATATTTGTACAGCACTTCGGCCATGAACATCTTCATCATCCCGCTGTGCGTGTATTTGCAATGGATCAAATCCCTGATCAACGAAACATGTTTGTGACATAGTCTACGGAAGAAGTAGATATGATATGGCATAGTTATATGCGAATCTAATGTCGAAATATGTCAAAGACGTCAAATTTTCATCTTAGAACTATGAGTCAGTTAACCTGTTTCGGCCATCGACTTAAGGCGATACTAATACTCGCAGGCACAAATCTCCCTCCACCTGTCAGAAGGTGCGGCAGTGACAGTGGAAGGCTAGCCGGTGAAAACACATCCACTTCATATTCAATAGCTACAGAGCACGTACAGTCCACAGACACTGTGTGCACTCCATATATCGGCATGATCGGAGCATGACTGCAGCATAGAAGAGAAATCTATTTATAGTTGCGCACAACGCAGTCCAAGAGGGTGGCACACTTTGGCACTGCACACACTACACATACCTGTGCACCTTCGGCCACGCAGCCACGGCACTCACGCCCCATAGCACCGGCGAATGCTCAGCAAACATCCCGGTTTTGGTCTGTAGAAAAACGGGACGTGATCAGTCATCATGCATAAATGTAGTAACAGCCACAACAAGATGAAACCGGACTTTATACATGCATGCATTTGCCACTCCACGGTTGAACTATGCGCTGGTTCTGTTTGCCCAATTCGATTCTACATAACATATCAACATATCTTAATGGTTATTTGCAAAGCCGTAGTCGCCGGTTGCCATCAGCACGTCGCCCCGGGAAGCAGTACACAGCTGATGAGACGGGACAAACACGAAAGCGAGTACAACAAATACCACAAGTACAACACACATCTGGAATAAAGTATCAATGGCGTCAAGGCGGTGGGTAGATTGGCATCAATACACACATACATCCCATGTGTGCATATTACAGTGGGCTTAGTATCAGCCATTAGAAATCACACCTCGAATATGTAATTGACGGCGGCAAAGAACAGATAGTCGTCTTTAAGTTGTGCGCACTTGCGCGGCTCTGGGATGTACACAGGTGTGATAGTCAAATTGCCCATTGAATCACAGTCCGATGAACCTGTGTTTGCGTACGATTGGTCGTTTAAACCACGGGGGGGCATTCGTCAAGACTTACCATCAATAAATATTCGGCAATATCAGTCATGGCCTGGTATATTGGTCTAAGTATGTGTGGTCTATTAGTCCTTAGTAGAAGTGCATACTTGTACTTGTGTGGGTAAGTATGTGGGTGTGGGTGGGTGTGTGGTAATGGCGTGTAGAAATTAGCGGGAGACCGTCGGGCGTGATGGCAGAATGGTGCAACATAACCGAAAAAATCAAGGCAACGGTGTGGCGCATGTGTGAAACTCAAGGTAATGCTCTCCGTTCCGTAATGTCCACGACACAACAACACGATAGAGTGTACACGTGGAGGAACGTGGCGTGTAGAGACAAGACACGCAATTGATATTACACTTGGCACATGGACGGTGTGAGCATCTCTGGGGTGAGCAGGTACTTAAAAGAACTCTCATTCAAACGCCCCGAGACTGTCCACTGGAGCCATCTCATACGCCGCCCGCGCCCGTCGATTTACTACAAACCAAATGCACAGCCACACGCAACCACTCTATACAGCCACACGCAACCACTCTATACAGCGCTGTATGCTTGCTAAGCCCATGGCACGCAGTTGTTTCTTTAGGTCAGCGTGTCCACACACCAGTCACACATAGCAGACCTGCAATACAGAGAGGTATGTAAAGCACTACGAGCGTAGGCATGGGCATACCGAGTAGCTGAGCAGCCCCGAAGTAGTACGGCAGGAACTGAAAATCATCCAGTCCCCACGCACCGTGACTGCCTGCTGGCTCCATCTTGTATGTCATCTGCAGCCGGCGCACTAGCTGTAAGTATCTGTGCGGAGATTGAGGGTATTAGTGTGTGCGGTTGTGATATGTATGTAGGTAATGAGGGACACGGCGTATGTAGTATTGATAGGCGTAGGTATGTGTGTAGTGGGTAGAGGTTACAGTGTACGTTGTGGTGATGGCTATGTGTATGCCTTTGCCGTAAGTGAGGAACACAATATGTGTTATGATATGCGCACACATAGATACATGAAAAGGTGCACATACTGATCAAGACAATGCACATCCCAGACATGCTCATTTAGAATACTCAAACACACCCCAAGACAAACATATATCATTGCTGGAAGGACACAGAGAAATCAATGACCAGGAATGCAACGCATCTCATGAACTGGTCCTGTCACACACGCTGCGTACTCTATCGGAGTCATGCTACCGGCCAGCTAATGTACATACGCAAAACACAATCCAACATCCTGAGCTAAACGGGCAACTATTATGTACACGAACCTGCACATGAACCATAATTATCAGTT